AGTAATTTCATATTTACAGGATGGACATAGCCTTTCCTCTCTTCCTTTCTCTTTCTTTCATTTTTTGGAACACTTGCTCTTTTATACTATAAATGAGTTTACTTATGCCCTTCACAAGATAATCAAGATTTCTCTGGGATTCTTCCCCCCTCCCAAAGCTGAAATTCCTGCCAATAGCAGGAAGCTATTTTTTATATGATAGAAAAAAACAATATATAAAATATTGTTGTAAAATTATATATGGTCAGGTTTTGTGGAAGTATTAAATAATTATAACTCTTTTCAGAATATTTTTACCATAAGAAAATATATGTCCAAGTTATAGAATTTTCATAATAACTTATTTAAATACACAATAGTTGTTGTTATTATTATTATTATTATTATTATTATTATTATTATTATTATTATTATGGCATGGCATTGTTACATTAGCCAGGAGACCACAGTGCTATTGCAGAGTAGTAGTTTGGCTACCAATTTACCAATTCTGTTGTGGGACACGGTTGCGTGCTTCCGAAGGTGCCCCACAGAAGGACGAACTGGATTTGCACTAGGAAGAAGGACAAGTGGCTCTTCTTGCAGGGTCAGCCAAGGCAATTTCATGTGACGGTGGTACCTTGATAAAATCCTTGGTTTGAACTTGGTTCACAACTCTTGGAAGATATACAGAGTCAGGGGATGGAGGCATTGCTTTTTTTTGTAGCTGTGCTGGCCCTTTCATTTGACTTTGCATTGGAAGTTAGACAAGCCCTTACGTCAATCATTTTCCAATAGCAATTGAAGTCTTCCAGCGCGTGGGTGTTTGGAGCTTCATGCTTGCTTTTGGGTTTGCTTGGCTGGGTTGTTTTTTGGATTTGGGATTCGTGTGTTTTACTGTTAGCATTCTGGGTGATGTAATGCTTATATCAAGGTCAAATGTGGTAAGAGAGCCAATTTGGTGTAGTGGTGAAGATGCTGAGTTAGAAACTGATCTGGATGATCTGACCTATTGAACGGTTACTGTTTAAAACCTCACTGATTTTTTTTTTCAGAAAAAAAAGTCAAACTGGATTTTTAAATTTACCTCTGAAAAATAATTTGGCAAAACAAATTATTCTTGTAAATTTGTCTTCTAATAGTTTGAAACAAAACCTGCAAGGAGATAGATATGTAACATACATTATAAAAGTGATGGACAGTTATTTTTCTTTTCCCTTATGCTGAGAGCAATTCTTTATGACAATCACTAGAACGTTTTAAAACTGGGAATGCTTTGATTATCACATTAACATTTTAATGTGTTATTTTTGGATTGATTCAGTGGGAAAATGTGGTCAGCTAGGGAAATTCCAAGTCCCATGAGATTTTGGTTAAGCTGCAAATAAATCTTCTCTCCTATTTCTCCATGACAAAGCTCAGAGTCTGGACGTAATTAGACTTAGGCATTTCTTTCACAAGAGAAATTCACAGGGTGTTCACCATCAAAATTACTGTTTCTAGTTCACTATATACATTTACTATTTAGCCATAATTTAAGCAAGAATACTGAAGTTAAAAAGACTTAAACGCATGTAAACAAATAGTTTATACTACACAATTACTTTATCTCGCCCTAATTATGTTTCTGAGAAAAATGTTCACTAAATTCAAAGATACCGAACTGAGATCAGGAAAGCTAGTCCTGTGCTTATACAGATAAATGCCCTTCTGAACATATACTGTAAGACAGTGTTTCCCAAACTTGACAATTTTAAGGCATGAGGACTTCAACTCCTAGAATTCCACAGCCAGCAACGCTGGCTGTGGAATTCTGGGAGTTGAAGTCCACATGCCTTAAAATTGTCAAGTTTGGGAAACACTGCTGTAAGAGAAGTGATTTCTGCTTTTTACTTCATAATTCACTCACTCAAAAAGGCCTCCACTTTTTATGAGATAAAATGCCTCTACTTTTTATGAGATTTTTCCCTATTCCCAATAATGATTGATGTGATATTTAATGATATATTATGAAGGCAATATATAAATGACCTCAAGTGAAGTGGCAATTAAAGGTTTATTGCAAACATTGCAAAACATACACAAAATTTATGGGTCTATCATTTTTCTACAATATGTTTTAGTAATAATACTCTGTACTTCTCTGTAGACCAAATATTTCTAGAGCTAATCAACATGCAATGCTTATAAACTGTCTGCCTGTCATTCTTTTTTATACATTTAATCTACTGAAAATATGAAACAGAAACATCTCTTCTGGCAATAGAAATCATTTCTCTGAAACCCAATATTGCTTGGAGACCTAGCTGTAGGGGCTGGATCATTTGAGAACTGAGAAAACTGTATTGAACCTTTGGTTCCTTAAAGCCCAGAGTTATTAGGACCAGTAAAAACTTGTGCTTGTGTGAATTTGCTTTGACAACCATTTCCGGAAACCGGATCCATTTTTCTACCTCCAAACTGTTTTAGAAATTAGGCAATAGAGGGACATGAAAAAAAGATTATTTTCAGAGAAAACTTGTAGATACATCATTTCAAGGAATTTATATCTAAATGTATTTTAAACTTTGCTACTTGCCTAATATTTAATAGAGTAGAAATAATTTTCCCAAAGAAGTAAATATACAGATATAACTCTAATTATAAATCTGAAGTCATACATCTTACATGACTTACAGTACATCTAAGTTCATTGGTACTGTTGTTTATATTTTTTTCAAAAATGTCTTTTAATTAAAATATTGGACAATCACTTAAATATGAGCCAGCAGTGTGCTACAGCTGCCAAAAAAGCCAACACACTGCTAGGCTGCGTTAACAGAAGGATAGAATTAAGATCACATGAAGTGTTAATACCACTTTATAATACTTTGGTAAGGCCACACTTGGAATATTGCATCCACCATGATGTAAAAAAGATGTTGAGATTCCAGAAAGAATACAGAGAAGAGCAACAAAGATGATTAGGGGACTGGAGGCTAAAACATATAAGGAACGGTTGCTGGAATTGGGTATGTCTAGTTTAATGAAGAGAAGGACAAGGGGTGACATGATAGGAGTGTTCCAATATTTCAGGGATTGCTACAAAGAAAAGGGAGTCAAGCTATTCTCCAAAGCACCTGAAGGCAAGACAAGAAGCAACAGATGGAAACTAATAAAAGAGAGAAGCAACCTAGAAATTTCCTGTTAGAACAATTAACCAGTGGAACAACCTGCTTCCAGAAGCGGTGAATGCTCCAACACTTGAAGTTTTTAAGAGTTTGGACAAGCATTTGTCTGAAATGGTATAGGACAGTGGTGGTGAATCTATGGCACGTGTGCCAGAGGCGGCACTCAGAGCCCTCTCTGTGGCACACGTGCCATTGCCCCAGACTTGCCTCCTCCTGTGACCCCCTCACCAGCAGCCCCCCTGGAGGAGTTGCCCCTGAGCGTGGCCCACGCGGAGCAGCGCAACCAAGGACATGGCAGCCAGGCAGCGTAGACAAGACTCTGCCCTCACACCCCATCGCGCACAGTTGATGCTGCAGGTTGCAGGCAGAGGGCATAGCCGCAATGGTGTTGCTGGGCTGCCTGGCGACTGCAGCGGGCCCTGGAGGCAGTGAGTGGCCCTGCGGGCAGGTGGGGTGGGGGCAGGGCAGGAGGTGGAGCAGGGGTGGGGCCAGTTTTTGGGCACTCGATCTCTAATAGGTTCGCCATCACTGGTATAGGATTTCCAGCTTGAGCAGGGGGTTGGACTAGAAGACCTCCAAGGTCCTTTCCAACATTATTATTGTTATTATTGTTGTTGTTATTGTTGTTGTTATTATTAGTATTATTAAATATGACTTACATAACTAGGACAATCTTTCCGTTGTTACTAATTGGAATTGATGATTTAGCTTTGTTTGTGAAATACAAATGATATAGGAGAGCACCAAGTTGTCAAAAAAGTGTACACTAATCTCTTTAACAATTACTTTGTAATATTTGTATCATATTGACAGGAAATAACAAGAAGTTGGTAAAGACTACTTACCATTACCCTGTAATGTTTTTATCATTTCCACCACTTACCAACAGAGTTGGCTAATGCTGCTGATGAAAAATCCAGCTTGAAAATGAAGTTTGGAAAAAAGAAATCAAAGGATGTGTAATGTTACCTTTTCAGCTGATTTCGGTGCTCCAAATTTTGGCTGTCACACAACATATGGAAAAAATGAATTCCAGCTGCCAAAACCAGGAAAGTTTCATTCTGATTTGATCTTTCCAAAGATTTAGGATTATGCAGTATTTACAAGGCAACTTCATGAACTCCCAGAAGATATCCATGCAACCAAATCTTCATTTACACAGGTGTATTTCTGAGCTTGCATATACTTTAGATCATCCTCAAAGAGCCATGGAATGCAAGTTAATCCAAGTTAAAGGCCGAAAAATGAAACTAATTCCAAGCTATGATGCAAGGTTGTCTTGTAACAATTTGCTATGCTTTTACTGTGAATGTTGTAAAAATAAGGCCACAAATTCTATCTCTATGTTAAATACAGGTAGTCCTTATTCAGAGAGTAAGCAAAGTGGTTGTAAGTGACTTTGCTCACGATTTATACAGGAAAAAGCATACAACGTGACTGCAATGGCAAACACCTGACTGAGAGAGAGAGAAATGATGTAAAGGTTGTAAATGCGGGAATTGGTTGCAAAACTACTTTTTCATCACCATCATGACTGCAAACAGTTGCTAAGTGAGAACTACCTATACATTCAACAGCAATAGTAGGAAACGGTAGCAATAGTATGAAAAGTAAAACACATCATTCCAAATTACTTCATCTCATTCAGATTAAAGCTCCTCCTTCTAAACGTTCTATATCCTCAGATTCAATGAAGCCTCAAATAAATGGATAGTTTCTGTGCCTATACAAGGTGAACAGCATATAAGTTTAATAAAGAAGAATAATAGCTAAGATAAAAGTGAATCGTTTTCTTTTCCAGACCCAGCAAGTAGTGCTGTAAATTCCATACAATGCCTGTCTAATATTTACCTGGCACATCTTGCACAGATGTTCAGGGTGACTTTGGCTTGTGGTTCAGCTGTATGTGAACTTCGAGTTTGGTTAAATTTGCTTCCAGTAGACACCACACTGGTTACTCCTTCCATTCTTAAATCATCAAGATCTTCTGTAAAGGAAATGTACTTTTTTTAAATAAAAGTACAGTTAAGCCCTTAAATAATATAATCCAATATAATCATTATAAAAATCCTTATAGAAATTCTCGTAGTAAAACAAATGTGGAATCTGGACAAAAGAAAGAAAGGGAAGAAATTGCTGACTGGGTGTTTCCTGATTGCCACAGATCACACACTATGCTGCTGAATGACACTGGTTGCCCACTGAGTGTGATCTGACAGTTGCTTCCTGCTGACCTTGATGAACAAGGAAGAATGCAAGAAAGTCAGATTCTGGAGAGCAAATAAACAGTGCAGTTTGGGAGGAGAGGTCAGGGGAGCATTTGAAGATCCTTCATTTAGGTAACCTTCCCATTCTTCTTAGGATTGCAAAGATAATGTAGAATAAAGACAACCAAGGAATTCCCATCCTTCAAGTAGCCCAGTTTGTAGTGTGTGTGTAGACAAGATATACATCAAGCTCAGTTGAGAGAATAAACTACCATAGATCCAATCTATATTTTAACCACTTGAGATTAAAGAAGCAACAAGAGATTGATCTTTAAGTCTAGAGACAAAAAACTACAAGAAGCATTTTAAAAAGTAAAAAAAAAACAGCTTTTTTCTGCTTGTAGAATGATAGATAGAATATGAACAATGTCAAAACAGTAATTCCTGCTGTGATTCTCTTTAATTTGGACAAAAAGAACTCTGTGTATACTCAAATGAAATTCACAATTACAGCAAATAATCAGAGATGTATGGACTAATAAGAAATTCCATTTAAGTATTTGGAGGCTGATGCTTGATTAAGAAATTAGCTCTTTGATCAGCCCTCTTAAAATAGGCTTTGGTAATATATGTTTTTATGAATTTTTTATAAGTTGAATTTGCATAATCTATTTAAAATGTTCTATACATTTATATATTCTTATAATGTAGACTAAGATTTAAAACATAAAAGTCTGTATCTTTTTCTTTACTCTGCCAATTCTCAAAACAGAATAAGAAACTATTTTTGATATGGAAGCTTTATGTGGAGAATATATTATCTTCACTTAGCAAATCTTGGGATATCAATCTCAAACATATTTCAATAAGATTTAAATTTCATGAGAAAAGTTTAAACCTGCATCATAGCTTTCAACAAAAGATTATAGGAGGCAAAAACACTGAAAAATACAGTATATTTTTAGAAACACAAAGTATTATGCTGTCACATTAGAAAATCTTTTCTCTAAATTATTCAGTTTTGAAAACCAATCTATAGTAGATCGGCATAAGTGTGCAACCTTTTGTTCAACCTATTTTTCTTCAATACATTTCTTCCATAACATATATCAGGTGTAATATATTTTAAGAAATTGTTACCAATGAACTAAAACTGTAAATTACTGAATTCATTTTTTTTATTGTATTTTTTTTAAAAATATATCTAAGTAAACTGGAAGTATTTACAGTGTAAATCAAATTTGCCATAGTAAATTTTTCATGTCCTCATAATTTAAATAACCAGGTTCACACAGAATCAGGCTTTGCCAATTTGCCAAGTAATCTTCTGGAAATATACATATAGTTTTCCACTTAAAATGATAAAATATGGCAAATCCAAATGATTTGTAACTATAATATTGCCCCATTTAGATAAATTCTTAAACGCGTTAACATTTTCAATTCATACCACAGTCCAATTCACCTCACAGAGTTGTTGTGGGGAAAAATAGGAGAGGAAGGTGGGTTGGATATGTTCACTATCTTGAGTAATTTATAAAAATAATAAAGGTAGGAAATAAAAAAATAAATAAAATAAAATAAAATACTGGAGACTGGCTAAAATGCACACCATAATATTTTAGTATGAAATACTAAATGCTAGATGATATGGACATGTTTTTAAAAGTAAATTGAACAGCACACTCCTATGCCTTAAGATAGTCCTTGACTTATAACCATAATTGGGATCAGAATTTTCATTGCTAAGCAAGTTGGTTGTTCAGGGAGTTGGGCCCCATGACTGTGGGGATATTACAACAGTTGTAAGTGTGAGGATCAATAGTAAGTCACTTTCTTCAGTGTTGTTGTAACTTTGAATGGTTGCTAACAAATGGTCATAAATCAAGGACTACCTGAATCTCAAACAGCCTTTAAGGGTCCAGATTGAAAATAATTTTACAATGAACACTGAATTATAAAGAAAAACATAGTTCTAAATGTATTGGTGGATTGTGCAGGGATAATTCAGAATCTACTTGAAATTCTGACTATAAGTTCTCAAATTGAGCATTCTAAGTATTGCAGAGTCCCATGGAAGCATAAAGAGTGGCAACTCTCACTTTGGCTATTTCACAAATCTGGAAGCCAAATTTTAATTATTAAATTTCAACATTTTATACCCCCTCACCAAAGTTAGCAAAAATGCACAAGTGACACTGATGACATTTATCTAATGCAAAGAATAAATTAACTGGAAATAGGGATATGAATATGCAGAGTCAATGAGAGTTGATCAGTATTTAATGTAATAAATATAAATGACAAAAAACAAAAAAAAATATGGAAATATAGTTGTGAATGTTTCCATGTAGTTAATAAAGCATAATTTAGAAACCAGGATGAGTCTTGCTGTTATCAGATATAGAACTCAAATACAATAGAAAAATCAAGACTAAAATGTTATTATTAACATTACAGGAGCCTATTTAGACCTACAATAAAGAGCTATTTCTTGATATCAGGTGGTGTCTACATAGTCTTTTTTATGGTATTTTATTATCTTATAAAATCTGCAACTGAAAACATTTATCATTTATGAGATTTTTCACTTTTATTTGTTTTTAATGGATGGAAATGCTTGTCTTGGTGTCTTTCAATATATTTCATTTCAATTATTCAATTGTTTTGAATTTCTATATTTATTCTTTTTATTGTGGTCAACTTTTCTTTTAAGAAAAAAACTTTTTAATATGTCGATTGCAATCAATTATACATAATTAATTATATTAATCTCTGGTAAAATATGAAATTATCAATTCTTTGATTATTTTCTCAATGTTTGGAAAGTATTTTTTTAATAAAATCAAATTCATCTTTGTAGCCACAGATTATACGTCACTTTTTATCTCCTGCATACAAACGTTTATATTAAAGCTTTCTACATTTTCTTTTTGATACTATCTGAATATATAAGAAAACACATTAGTGCCCTCAAGTGGCAACAGCTAGACAGAAATAAGGCTTCTGTATCAAAGTTCCCAAAGACATAGTTGTGCTAGTCTTAGGGAGTCAGAGAAAAGGAAAAGGAAGGAAGGAAGGAAGGAAGGAAGGAAGGAAGGAAGGAAGGAAGGAAGGAAGGAAGGAAGGAAGGAAGGAAGGAAGGAGGGACAGAGGGTGTGATAGAGGGAAATTTGTGGTACATTTAATATCAATCAGTTTTACCATATCAAAAATGTCTTATCCATGTCTCACAGAAATAAATTTTGAAGACAAAGATTTTATAAGTACACGCTGTTGGGGGAAGTAGTGAGAACAAACAGAATTGTTTTGGGGTCAGGTCAAAGAGAAGCAAAACAGCTTACAGAGCTATCATAAATAAAGTCATGGTATGTGTTCTTGTCAGTCTGATGCAGTAAAATCAATAAAGAATTCTGTAGTCCACAATACTTAAGAACTCTCTTATCTCATAAGATTTATAATCCTTAGAAAGCTTACATTTATCTCATGGTCTGAAGGCAAAGGAAATGGGAATGAGAAAAACCACTTACTTTAGGGATGATCAAACATGAAACAATTGTAATATTTGACCTTAAGCTTTCAGCCTTAAATAACTAATGTCTTTAATATTTCAGGGTGTCTTAGTCCAGAGGTTCCCCAACCTTTTGGGCACCAGGAACTGGTTCCGTGGAGAGATGTTTTTCTGTGGACCAGAGGGTGTGTGGTTTTGTCTGCTGCCTGCACCTCACGGATGGGGCTTTGCTTGTTTGTGCAGACCAGTTGCTGGCATGCCGCAGCCCGGTACTGGTCCACAGACTGGGGTTGGGGACCCCTGTCTTAGTCTACATCTGAATTATGAAAAATGTATTGAATCTTCTGGTTAATTTCTGTTCTTCCATTTCAGTATTCAATCAGTTTTTCTAATTCCTCTTCTCAAGTATTTGTTCTTTTGGTGAATGTCTTGCAGGTTTTAAAAAAAAATGTCTACTGCTTTCAGGATACAGCCATCTCTAATGTGAGATTTTGTTATTTTGTATTTTTGCCAATATGTCTACTGTAAAGTATAGTGGAACATTGTTGATTGAAGATGGCATACTTTACATCAGAGAAGAAACAAATGTATATTCCCGTAATATTGTTGAGAATATGGGGGCAGAACTGATTTCTGTATTTGTAACTTTACAGCACAATCAGTTATTTCTATAGTTTTCAGTTAGGTGGCTCAGCATAAGCCAGAGAAGGAAGGAGGAGTATTTGAGTGGTATTAGCTGGAAATTGACAGCTATAATGACAACAAACAGACTTATGTCTTGAACAATATTTTTGGGTAACTACATAGTTTTACTGATACATTTAGTTATTCATTTAGTTCACTGGGTAGATATTAAAGTTACATAAATGCTGGATTTAAATTATCTTTTGTGTGTCTCAAATATAAATAGATATGGTTATATTGTAGGCTTAATTGTGCAATATACTTTGTGCGATATACTTTGGATTAAAGCTGGAAGATGTAAGGAGATGTGACGCTCAGCTGATTTCCTCTATTAATTGATGTAGGTCTGCATCAACCTGTGATACTTGATGTGAAGTATATATCTGGGTCAGTTTAATAAATTTAATTCAATATAACCACATTTACGGACAGTCACTAAAAATAAATGAATAATGTGAGGATCTTCAGTTCCAAAGATGATGGTCTTAACTTTTCTCTAGCGCTTGTTCTGTATTCTGTATTCACCAAAAATCAATCATTTTCACTGGCAGAAATAAGAATACCAAAGCCATCTGTTGGAGATTG